CCCAGCCCCCCATGAACACCCGTCTCTCCGCGACCACCCGGCCCCCGGGGAGCACCGGCCCCCCGTGATTCCCCGGTCCCCCGAGACCACCCGCTCGCCCCCGCCCCCCGCGACAACCCGGCCCAGGGTGCCTTGGCTCCTCAGAAAGCGGACTAGGCCTCCCCGCCTGGAGGGGTTGAGGCGGTCTCCGCGGCGGACGCCGCAGCTGCGCTGGGTGATGTTTCGCAAGACAGCTGTCCCTTCGGCGCCGACTCTGAGCTCACTGAGTAATTAGTGCTCAAGTCCTGCCGTCTGTCGGGCAGGCCTGGGTTTCAGTCGTGGTTTTGCCCTGTGCTCTTCGGATAATGGCTTCATCTGGTCTGGGCCTCAGCTTCCTCTTCGTTAAAACAGAACTAAGAGGGTTTAAGAGGGTTAAGTGTAGGAGTGCCGGGGCCCCCTCTTGGCAGGCGGTATGGGCGTTAATATGCACTGTGCCTTCGTGTAACGCTTTTGCCCCCTCGAGAAGGACTTCACGCTTCTCTCATGTAGTCCTCCCCCAGGGCAGAGAGGGAGGTGGCATCATCTACACTTGCAGACCGGAGACCCCCGGAGAAGCAGAGCATGGGCGTGCTCTTCAGTTCTGGTCACAGGAGGGTGATGTGAAGAGCAATGAAGTTTCCAGCTAAGTTTATGAAGTTCCGTAGCTGTGGAGGCATTTATTTATTTACTCAGACTTTCTTTTTTATTATTATTTTTTGGGGGGGGGGAATTTTTTGAGGTATAATTGGCACATAACATGACGCTGGTTTCAGGTGTCCTAGGTAACGTCCATCACCACTTGTAGTTAGAAGTTGTTTTCCCTTCTAAGTTCTCTAAGACGAGAACTTTTAGGATCTACTTTTAAGACCTCAGCAATTTTCAAATATACAACGCAGTATTATACTGCAGTATCTGTAGTTACCACACTGTGTAGCACGTTGCCAGGACTTATAACTGGAAGTTGGTACCCTCTGACCACTTCATGCATTTCACTCACCACCCCACTCCCCTTCTCTGGCAACCACTAATATGTTTTCTGTAACTATTAGTTCAGGATTTTTTCTTTTTTTTAGATTCCACGTATTAGTAAGATCATATGGTATTCATCTTCCTCCATCTGACTGACTTCACTTGGTGTAATGCCATTAAAGTCCATCCATGTTGTTGGAAATGGCAGAATTTTCTCACTTTTTCATGGCTGAGTAAATATTCCATTGTGTATATGTACCACAGTTTCTTTAAACATTTACCCATTGGTGGACACTTTGGTTGTTCCCATAACTTGGCTGTTATAAATAATGCTGCAGTGAGTATAGGGGTGCATATGTCTTTTCAAGTTAGTGTTTTCATTTTCTTAGGATAAACACCCGGCACTGGAATTACTGGACCGTGTAGTAGTTCTGTTTTTAATTTTTTGAGGAACCTCTATACTGTTTCCATAGTGGCTGAACCGATTTACATTCTCATCAACAGTGTGCAAGGGTTCCCTTTTCTCCACACCCTCACCGACACTTGTTATTACTTGACTTTTTGGTGATGGCCATTCTGACAGGTGGGAGTGATATCTCATTGTGGTTTTAATTTGCGTTTCCCTGATGATTAGTGATGTTGCGCACCTTTCCACGCACCTGTTGGTTATCTATGCCTTCTTTGGAAAGAGGTCTCTTCAGATCCTCTGCTCATTTTTAAAATCAGATTATTTGTGCTCTTATTATAGTGTTGTATGAGTTCTTTACATATTTTGATTATTAACCCCTTATCAGATACATGATTGGCAAACTTTTTTTCCTATTCAGTAGGTTGTCTTTTCATTTTGTTGATGGTTTCCTTTGCTGTGCAGAAGCTTTTTAGTTTGACGTAGTCCCATTTGTTTATTTTTGCTTTTGTTGCCTTTGCTTTTGGTGTCAATCCAAAAAATCATCTCCAAGACCCATGTCAAGGAGCTTACCTTTATGTTTTCTTCTATGAAGGAGTTTTATGCTTTCAGGTCTTTGAAATCTGTAATGCATTTGAGTTTATTTTGAGTATGGTATAAGGTGGTGGTCTAGTTTCATTCTTTTGCATATGGCTCTCCAGTTTTCCCAACACCATTTTTTTTTTGAATTTTATTTTTTTATACAGCAGCTTCTTATTTGTTATCCATTTTATACATATTAGTGTATGTATGTCAATCCCAATCTCCCAGTCCCAGCACCATTTATTGAAGAGACGGTCCTTTCCCCATTGTATGTTCTTGGCTCATTTGTTGTAAACTAATTGGCTCTGTACACATGAATTTATTTCTGGGCTCTCTATTCTGTTTTATTAGCTTACATGTCTATTTTTATGTTAACACTGTACTGTTTTGATTATTGTAGCTTTGTAGTATAGTTTGAAATCATGCCTCCATGATCATGCCTCCATATAGTTTGAAATGATGCCTCCAGCTTTGTTCTTGTTTCTCAGGATTGCTTTGGCTATTCATGTGTTTTTTTTTTGGTTCCATATAAATTTTAAGATTGTTGTATTTTTGTGAAAAATACCAGTGGGATTTTGATAGGGGTTGCTTTAAATTTGTAGATGGTTTTGGGGAGTGTAAACATTTTAGCAATATTAATTCTTCCAACCCACGAGCATGGACTGTCTTTGTATTTATTTGTGTTTTCAGTTTCTTTCTTCAGTGTCTTATAGTTGTCAGTGTACAGGTCGTTCACCTCCTTGGTTAAATTTATTCCTAAGGATTTTATTCTTTTTGACACAATTATAAATCTGGTTGTTAATTTTTAATAGTTTGTGAGTATTTAGAAGTCAGCCGATTTTTGTATACTGATTTTATATTCTGCAACTTCACTGACTTTGTTTATTGTAACAGTTTTTTTGGTGGAGTCTTACAGAGTTTTCTATATATAATATCATGTGCAAATAGAGGTTGTTTTGCTTCTTTCTTTATGATTTGGGTGGTTTTTATTTTTCTTGTCTAATTGCTCTGGCCAGGACTTCCAGTACTATGTTGAATAAAAATGGTGAGAGTGGGCATCCTTGCTTTGTTCCTGGTGTTAGAGGAAAGCTTTTAGTTCTTCACCATTGAGTATGATGTTAGCTCTGGGCTTGTCACATATGGCTTTTATTATGTTGTGGTACTTTCTGTCTGTACACAATTTATTGAGGTTTTTATCGTGAATGGATGTTGCATTTTGTGAAACATTTCTTCTGCATTTATTGAGATGATTGTATGATTTTTATTTTTTATTTTGTTAATGTGTGTCACATGGATTGGTTTGGGGAGGTTGAGCCAGCCTTGCATCCCTGGAATAAATCCCAGCTGATCATTGTGCATGATCTTTTATTTACTTATTTATTTATTTATTTTATTTACATATCTTTTGGTTGCATCGGGTCTTGGTTGTGGCACACGGGATCTTTCGTTGCGGCGCGCGGACTTCTCTCTAGTAGCATGCAGGCTCCAGAGTGCATGGACTCTGTAGTTGTGGTGCGTGGGCTTCAGAGCGTGTGGGCTCTGTAGTTGTGGCGCCAGGCTCAGTAGTTGTGGTGTGCGGGCTTAGTTGCCCTCTGTCATGTGGGATCTTAGTTCCCCAAGCAGGGATTGAACCCATGTGCCCTGCATTGGAAGGCGGATTCTTAACCACTGGACCAGCAGGGAAGTTTCCATGATCTTTTAAATTAATTGTTGAATTCAGTTTGCTGTTATTTTGTTGAAGATTTTTACATCTACATTCATTAGGTATATTGGCCTGTAATTTTCTTTTCTTGTTGTGTCCTTGTCTGGTTTTAGTATCAGAGTAATACTGGCCTTGTTGGGCCTCCCTGGTGGCACAGCAGTTAAGAATCTGCCTGCCAAAGCAGGGGACACAGGTTTGAGCCCTGGTCTGGGAAGATCCCACAAGCTGCAGAGCAACTCAGCCCGTGTGCCACAACTACTGAGCCTGTGCTCTAGAGCCTGCAAGCCACAACTACTAAGGCCACGTGTCACGATTTCCGAAGCCCGTGTGCCTAGAGAGCCCAAACAACTACTAAGGCCACGTGTCACGATTTCCGAAGCCCGTGTGCCTAGAGCCCGCGCACCGCAATGAAGAGCCGCCTCGGCTCGCTGCAACTAGAGAAAGCCGCGCACAGCAACAAAAACCCAACAGAGCCAAAAACAAAAAAAACTGGCCTTGTTTTGGAGGCATTTAGAATTCTTTGAAAGGTTTTCTAGCCCAGAAGGCCCTCCACTGGCCATTCTCCCCAAAGGCTGTGTATTCGCCTGGGAGACGGGAGCCAGAGGCCTGCCTTTGGTCCAGCCCTGCGCCTGTGTTTGCGGGCATGTCCACTCTGGGAGCTGGGAGGCTGGCGGAGTGCGGGCCTCGCCTCCCCTGGGAGCTTCTTGCTTGCCTGACTTCGTGTTTCCTGTGCTTGCCCAGGAACGGCCCGGGCCCTGGCCATGGGGCGCTGTCGCCTCTGTCACGGCAAGTTTTCCTCCCGGAGTCTCCGCAGCATCTCTGGCGGGGCGCCTGGGGAGAGCTCAGCAAGACCGCCCCCTGGGGACCGTGTTTTTGTCCGGGACTTCCAGCGCCTCCTGGGGGTGGCCGTCCACCAGGACCCGGCTCTGTCCCAGTTTGTCTGCAAGAACTGCCACACCCAGTTCTACCAGTGCCACGGCCTCCTCACGTCTTTCCTGCAGAGAGTCAACGTCCCCCCCACGGGCCGCCGGAAGCCTTGCGCAAAGTAGGCGCCCTCCCTCGTTCGCTGGGGGCGTGCAGGAGACCCCACCAGCGGGCCGCGTGGGCACAGGGCGGCCTGGGTGGGAGCCTCCGCACGGGGAGCCCATCATGCTGGGTGAGGCAGACGCTCGTGAGCACCAGTGCGACGGGTGTGTGGGCAGGGGGGCCCGGCGGGAGGCCTCGGAGGAGAGGGCTCAGACTGCACGCGGAGCGGCCGGGCCCACTCCTGCTCTCAGTGGGCGGCGCTGCTCCTTTGCAGGGTCGGTGTGCAGCCTCGGACGGGGGCGGAGGAGGGAGCGTGTGTGGGTGAGTGCACCCCCGGGGTGGGGCGTGGGGTGGGCGGGGTGGGAGGTGCGCGTGCTCACCGGCCATGGGCTGGCATCTCTGCCTCTCCTCAGTGGACCTGATCGCTTCGAGCCCCCAGGGCCTGCGCGGCTTGGTGGGGTGGGTGCACGGACACGCGGCCGGCTGCGGGGCCCTGCCCAGCCTCCAGAGGACCCTGTCCTCCGAGTACTGTGGCATCGTCCGGGCCGTGTGGGGCTGTGACCGAGGGCACGACTACACCATGGACGCCGACTCCAGCTGCGGCTCCCTCTTGCTGGACGGCACCTTGGGCGTCAGGCGGACGTGGGACAAGGATTTGGCCCCAGGGCTCCCCCGGCATCGGGGGTCCAGCCCCAGCGGGGCTGCCCCTCAGAGCTCCCAGGGCAGAGCGACCGCCGCCGGGGCCGAGACCGAGACGCTGCCCAGCACGGACACAGCCCGGCCTCCTTCAGATGGCGACCCGGTGGGGCCTGGGCCGGGCCCCCCGCCTCAGCCAAGCCTCCCCCAAAGCGGGGCCCCAGGTAGGAGGCACCTCTGGGCTGTCTGACCAGGATTCCTAGTCCTGGGCCAGGCAGAGCCCTCGACAGGAAGCGTGTGTTGGGGCGGTGGCTGCGGTGTCGTGCGTGGAGGGGCCAGGGTAATGCCGGGGGCCGCCTCACGGCTGTCTTGACAACAGAGAGGCCGAGGACCCTGTTCCAGCGCTTTCTGTGATGGCACACTCGTCTGCCCTCCAGGCTTCCTCTAAGCCTGCGTGGGCCCAGGGCACAGAGGGTGGAAGAGGACGGGGGCCTCGTGGGGCCCGACGGCAGTTGGTGTCTGAGGCTGTTCTGAGCCAGCTGCAGGTCACTCCCTGGGCCTCAGCCAGCACCCAGTGGGACCAGTGTGGACACGCTGCTCTGGGCGGCCCCTTCTTCGGGGCCCGATCCCATGGCACCGTGGGTTGGGCGCAGCTGTTCGCAGACGTCGTGTTAGGAGGGCCAGGCTGGCTTCCGGCCGTGTCCCTCGGCCTCCACGTGGGCGCCTGTTGCCGTGTGGGCACCAGGCTGCCCCGTGTGCTGACCCTCAGCCACCGGACGGTTCAGAGTGAGGGCGACGCTGGTGTTGGAGGGGAGAGACTTGTGCTGCATGGTTCTTAGAATTGCTTGGGTTTCTAAACTGTGTGCCTGCAGTACTTGGATAACAGTGATTTTTTTAAATGTCCCAGAACATCCACAAAGTACAAGTCATCCCATCCCAAAGCGGCTGGATCCGAACCCCTGGGGAGGGGCTGGGCTTGCTGGCGTTGCTACTGTTGGCTGGACATGGGGGTGGCCCGGCGCTGGGGCCACCCCCATGTGCAGGGTGGGTTGGGAGGTGAGTGGCTTGGAGGCAGGGGGACCCCAGGCTCCCCGTCATCCTTGCGGGGAGCACCACCTGGCTGTCTGGGGGTGACGGGTGACTGGAGTCTTGTTCTTTGTTTCTCAGGGCAGTTGGGTGAGAAGCAGGTTCCATCTCCAACCTCGGATGATCGGGTAAAAGACGAGTTCAGTGACCTTTCTGAGGGGTGAGAGAAGAGTGGGTTTACATAGCCTAAAATTCCTCCTTGGAAACCAAACGCCGCTATCCCAGGGGCCAGCAGCCTGGGTCTTGGCCGGCCTCCCCCCTTTCTCTGTTGGGAGGAGGGGAGCGGCGGGGGGTGCTTCTAGCCTTCCGTTCCTGATTGGGGGCTCCTGGGTCCCCGGGGCGCCGCAGACCTGATGGATCTGCAGGGGGCCTGGCCAGGGTGGTATGGAAGTTACTCTGCTCAGATGGTCCTCTGGTTGGTCCTTTGCTGCTGCCGCTTGTCTCGCCCTCCAAGGCCTGAGTTTTGAGCCAACCCCAGACGTCACTAGAACAGAAGCCAGCCTCTGGCCCTCTATCATGATGTGTTGGTGACATGGGGGTGGAGGCTCCCTACAGGAAGACAAACCTTCCTGGAAGGGGCACCTGTTTGCTCCTGGGGCCACCCCCCCAAACCTTTCGGGATGGAGGCCGCACGCCAGCCAGCCTTCCCACCCTGCCCTGCGAGCTCTGGCTGGACTGCAGATGGACTTTTGTCCAAACAAGTAGAAGGACAGCGTGACTTTGGTCCCAGTGACAGATGACCCAGGTGCTGGAGGAACCCCACCATGTGTGCCACAAACTCCCCCGGGGTCAGGAGGCCGTGGCTGTTCCGTAGCCACCAGCCAGCCTGGGGCCTTTCTCTGTGGGGAGTGTGGCGGCTGGGCTCTGTCCGCTGCCCAGCAGAGCCTGTGTAGTGACTCACACTTCAGGGTAAAGGTTACAGACGTACAGATGTTTTTTTGGTCTTTGTGACCTTTGAGATGACTGACAGCTGACCTCTCATCTGGGCAGGTGCTCACAGTTATGGGGGTGAGGTGACATTCTAAAAGCCCACTTTCTGAGAAGCCCGCCTCTTGTGAGGGTCTTCACACCCTGCCTCGGGCCCCGGTAGAGAGGCTCTTTGGGAGATCGGGGTCCTGGTGTCATGATGAGAAGTGTGGCTTACACAGGATCGTCAGCTTGTGACCCTGGCTGGCGTGCCCTTTCTGTTAGGAGATGGGATTGGAGACTTGGGAATTTTAGGCCTTTTGAGGAGAGCTAAGACGTGCAGTGTGGGGATCCACAGGGTGCCTTTAGACAGGAAGTTTCACTGGCTCAGTCACCGGCCCCGGAGCTTTGCTAAAGGTTCTCTCTTCTCTCCTAGAGACTTCCTGAGTGAAGACGAAAATGACCAGAAGCAGAATACCCAATCCTCAGATGAGTCCTTTGAGCCCCACCCAGAAAAGAAGTAAGGGGGACAGCGGTGCTGTAAGCTCACGGGATGTGGGAGGTGTCCAGTGGGTGACCTGGAGACGTGCGTCTGCCCTGGGGGACGGAAGCTCGCTGCCACCGTCTGCCTTGCTCAGCACATGCTCTCTGCTTCTCTGATGGCCTGACCTCCCAAGCTCAGCACAGTGTGGCTTCTGGGTGACCCAGGAGGACCTGCCCAGTTCAGCGCAGGGACCTGGCCTGGCATCACCCTGGGGGGCAGCAGCCAGCTGTGCGAGGAGCCCTGGGGATGTGACCCCGCCACCCACCCGCGTCTGCTGTCGGCCCCACTTTCCCGGCTCATCATCTGCTCTCAGGTCCGCCTCTGGCACTGACTGCCATGCCACTTCCTCATTGAGGCAGCCTGCCCCCTGCAGGGCTTTGTGTTCTCTCTCCATTAGAACACGGGGTCGTGGCAGAGAAGGCCGATTTTCACTTGTGTCACCCTGTGCCCAGGAACACCCCAAACACCTCCAGTTAGTAGATGCCCAGCCTGGGCCTCTGACGTGGAACAAAATCACAGGAGCACCACACCATCAGCCAGGAAAGCACAAAACAAAACAGAGAAGCAAAAGCATGGCTTCCTTTTCTGCTTTAAGCTCCCGTGTGGGCGGTGTGGGTAGAGAGACAGGAAAGGAGGCGGCTCAGGAGATCCCAGTCAGGGTGTGGGGCTGGCTGAGTCACAAGCCCTCGAGCAGGCCTGAGCGAACACACGCTGCCTGGGGCCAAGGGGGGGCGTCAGGCGGGCTAGGTTGGGGAGACCACATCTGCTTCCACGGTGCTGCCTGGGGCTGCGGCAGGAGCCCCCGTTCCCCACCCTGAACTCCACGAACCCACCTCTTACATCCTGCTGCCCAGCGGGCCTGGGGCCACTGGTGTGGGGACGGGGACACCTGCCGTGTCCCTGGGTTTCCAGGAGGCCCCTGGGAGGGCACACAGACACATGCTGTAGGACAGGACACACAAGGTATGTGTTCAGAGGCCTGTGGGAGGTGGGACTGGGCGGCAGTGGGCTGGCAGAAGCTCTGGGCTCAGCCCTGACGGCCACTTGGTGCCTCAGGTGCCATGATGTGAGTGCCAGCTGACGTCCTAGGATGGGGCCTCTGAGCAGCCGTGGTCCATGTGACCTTGCAGCAGACGTGCCTGTCAGGGTCCGCAGCCAGGCGGCAGGGGCCAGGGCTCCAGCAGGAAGCGGGAGAGAAGGAGCCTGAGCAGCGATGGGAAGGAAGGGCGCTGGCAGCCCCGAGTTGGGCGCTGTGAGCACGGTCCTCCTGCGTCTGCAGGGACCTCAACACCTCGTCCTTCAAGGACTCACCTGAGACACCCGTGGGCTCTCTGAAGCCTCCTGCTCTCAAGAAACGCGTAATCCTGTGCAAGCACTGGTTACGGTTCAGCTCTGACTGGGTGTCCAAGCCACACAGCAGAGGAGGGTGGAGGCCAGGACCGTGGCCAGGCCGGAAGAGCAGTTATTAGACAAAAGGAGAAGCAGCCTGTACAGTTGTTGAGAAGGTTCTTGTCAATACACTGTTTAAAGAGGAGGACAGCTGTTTATGTTTTTTATTTATTTATTTATTTTTTGCTGTGTTGGGTCTTCGTCTCTGTGCGAGGGCTTTTCTCTAGTTGTGGCGAGCGGGGGCCACTCTTCATCACGGTGCGCGGGCCTCTCACTGTCGCGGCCTCTCCCGCTGCGGAGCACAGGCTCCAGACGCGCAGGCTCAGTAGTCGTGGCTCACGGGCCCAGCCGCTCCGCGGCACGTGGGATCCTCCCAGACCAGGGCTCGAACCCGTGTCCCCTGCATTAGCAGGCAGACTCTCAACCACTGCGCCACCAGGGAAGCCCTGTTTATGTTTTTAATTGTGGTAAAATAAACGTAAGAAAATTTACTGTTTTACCATTTTTAAAAGTGTACAACTCAGTGGCATTTAAGTGCTTTCACAGTGTTGTGCACCTGTCACCACTATTTCCAGACTTGCACTACCCCAAACAGAAACCCCGTCCCCATGAAGCAACGGCCTCCCCTCTCCCCCCCACAGGCCCCGGCAACGCCTAACCTAGGTATCCATTCTGGGGACTTCATACAAGCGCAGTAACATGTTATGTGTTCTTTTGCTACGGGCTTCTTGCACTTAGAATAATGTGTTTGAAATTCATCCATGTTGTGATGTGTCAGTTTGATTCCTTTCTATGACTTGAGCAATATTCTATTATAAAGGGACTTCCCTGGCAGTCTCGTGGTTAAGACTCCACTTCCACTGTAGTGGGCATGGGTTTGATCCCTGGTCGGGGAACTAAGATCCTGCATGCGGCATGGTGTGGCCAAAAAAAAAAAAAAAATGCTATCGTATGGATGGACCACGTTTTGTTGATCCATTCATCTGTCGATTTTGGTTGTTTATACTTTTTTTGGGCTATTGTGAATCATGGTATAAAGGCTGTTGTAACAAGTATCTGTCTGAGACCCTGTTTTCAATTCTTTGGGTCATATCGTACTTTAACTTTTGGGGGAACTGCCATACAGTTTTCTGCAGCAGCTGCACATTCTACATTTCCTACTAACAGTGTACAGGGGTTCTGATTTCTACACATCCTCACCAATATCTGTTATTTTCTGGGTGTGTGTGTGTGTTTTAATAGTCATCCTAATGGGTGTGAGGTGGTATCTCATTGTCATTTTGATTGGCATTTCCCTAGTGATGAGTGATGTAGAGCATCTTTTCACATGCTTGTATCTTTGGAGAAATGTCTATTCAAGTCCTTTGCCCACTTTTTAATTGAGTTGTTTGCTTTTTTGCCATTGAGTTGTATATATTCTCCCTTTTTTTCACTCTTCATAGTGCGCTTTGGTGCACAAAAAATTATTTTGAAGTCCAATTTACCTGTTTTTACTTTTGTTGGCTGTGCTTTTGGTGTCATATTTAAGAGAAACCATTCCCAAATCTAAGGTCCTAGAGGATTTACCCCTAAGAATTTTAGTTTTAGATCTTTGATCCATTTGAGTTAATTTCTACGTAGGGCGTGAGGTAGGGATCCAGCTCCATTCTTTTGTATGTGGATATTCGGTTGTCCCAGCACCTTTTGTCGAAAAGACTGTCCTTTCCCCCGTGAGTGGTCTTGGCACCTTTGTCAAATCAGTTGATTGTACTTGCAAGGGTTTATTTCTGGTCGCTCAATTATTCAGTTGGTCTGTATGTCTGTCTTTTTGCCAGTACCACACAGTTTTGATTATTGTAGCTTTGTAGTAAATTTTGGAATCAGGAAGTTTGAACTCTCCAGCTTTGTTGTCTTTCAAAATTGTGTGGTTATTCAGTGTACCTTGAAATTCTATGTGAAAACTTGTTTTTTTGTTGTTGTTTTTGTAAAAAAACACCATTGGGATTTTGATAGGGATTGAACGTATAGATTGCTTTGGGGGATTACTGCCATCTTTACAATCCATGGGTATGAGAGATCTACTTATTTAGGTCTTTAACTTCTTTCAGCAGCATTTTGCAGTTTTCAGTGTACAAACAACTCTTTCACCTTGGTTAAGTTTATTCCTAAGTGTCTTATTCCTTTTGATGCTATTAAAAATGAATTGTTTTCTTAATTTCCTTTTTGGACTGTTCATTGTTTGTTAGTGTATAGAGATAGAACTGGTTTTTGTGTGTTGATTTTCTACCCTGCAATGTTGCTGAATTTATTTTTCTGTGTGGGTTCTTTAGGGTTTCCTACATATAAGATCATGACATCGTGAAGAGGTAATTTTCTTTCCTTTCTAATTTAGATGCCTTTTTTTTTTTTTTTTTTTTGCCTAATCGCTGTGGCTAGGACTTCCAGTGTTCTGTTGAGAAGTGGTGAAAATGAGCATCTTTGTCTTGTTCTTGCTTGGTCATCACCGCCAACAGCACGTGAGGCCCACCGCCCCCTCTCTCTGTTCCTGATCTCAGAGGAAAAGCTTTTTCAGTCTTTGACGACGGAGCATGGTGTCAGCTGTGGGCTTGTTGCTATGGCCCTAGAAGTTTCCTTCTATTCCTGACAGATTTCCTTAAACTCCTGGATCTAGAAAGAAAAGTGTGCATGTATCTTTAAGTCTTTGAAGGACACCACAGGGCTGGGGGGAAGTTACTGTGTCTGGCCTGGTCCTCTGGAGCCTGCGAGACTGGCTGAAATGCATGACCCCATGTGTGGAGGACAAGGTCCCTGCTGCCCAGGGGCTGTGGAGTGGGGGACGGCAGTGGGCGCAGAGCTCTCTCCTGGTTGCCGTAGAGTCTCCCAGCAGGTTCCAGAAGAGTGGATCCTGATCTATTTTCTAGCTTAACGATAGTCCTGTTGAGGGACTGACCCCCGAGTCTCCCCTGCCCCACCATTTTCCATGCTGTCTCCAAAATTATGGTGTTGATGTTTCAGACAGGGAGTGAAAGTTGTCACGAAGGCCCACTCCTGTGTCCCAAGGGGGCAGTGCAGCACCTCCACCTCCCCAAAGAGCTGTTCTAGCTTTGGCGGCCAAGGGTCAATTTGAGGGCCAGCCAGTCAGCACGGGGACTGAAGCAGGTTAGCCCTGGAGGCCCGTGGAGACCCACCTCCCGCAGTGCATATGCAAACAATCAAACATCACTGACTAGTGTCCTCTTTTTCCCCCAGAATCTCTGCTAAGAAGAGTGAAAGCAAAGAAGCCAAGAAGTCAGAAGAACCAAAAATTCGAAAGAAACCTGGACCCAAGCCGGGCTGGAAGGGCAAGCCGCGCTGTGAGAGGTGAGGGGCCGGGGCCGCGCAGCCCGTCGGGCCCGCGCAGCCCGTCGGGGCCGCAGCTCCACACGTGCTCTGCATTGCAGGGAGGAGCTGCCCACCATCTACAAGTGTCCTCACCAGGGCTGCACGGCCGTGTACCGTGGGGCTGACGGCATGAAGGTGAGGGCCCCGGCCCGTGAGGATGCGGGGGAGGCCGGACAGGCCCGCAGTGCTGGGATCTGTTCCTCTGGGTAGAGGGGGGTGCTGAGCAGGGCCTGTGGGAGGGAGGCACGTGCTGTGACCAGGGGTGTTGGCCAGGCCTAGGCACTCAGGTCCCCGGTCCGTCCCGCAGAAGCACGTCAAGGAGCACCACGAGGAGGTCCGGGAGAGGCCCTGCCCGCACCCCGGCTGCAACAAGGTGTTCATGATCGACCGCTACCTGCAGCGCCACGTCAAGCTCATCCACACAGGTGCGTCCCCCCACCCGCCCCCGTGGACAGGGCTGCCTCCTGGGAAACTGGCGCCAAAGAATCCTGGTATCTCTCTGTGGGTTTATTGTCGTGTTTTTTTAAATCATTAAGAAGATGACGTGTGCTTTTTGGATTACAAAAGTGACCCACATCCATCGTAGAAACTGGGGGAGGAAGCACACTGAAGACAGTGCCCTGGTCACCACGGCCCCCTTCTCTCCCTGAACACACGTTCATACCTTGGACTCGTACGTGCCGGGTGCACATGGTCGCTGCTTCTGCGCAGAAGGCAGCTCTCCCAAACCGCACCTCCTTCCAGATAGATCTGTTACATCTGTGTCTATCCCTGAGAGAGAGCTTTGCTTGTTTTGAACTTTGTAAAAATGATTTACTTCACTCAGAGTTGACCGTTTAATCGTTGGCGCACATTTACTTGTTGGTTCCACAGCGAAACAGTTTTCCTTGTGTTTTTTGCTCCAAGTGTTCTTGTCTGTGTCTCCTAACAAACACAGTAATCCTCTTGGGTTGGGTCAAGCTGTTCTCAGTCTGATGCCAGTGGTCGTGACCCCAAACTGCTTTTGTTTTTAACACAAAAGAGACTAGATCGTGTGTGCTATCGGGACGGTTGCCCCTAGTGAGGGAGGAGCCTGCCTGGGAGGCTAGTTCAGGTACTGGTAGCAGTGGGACGTGCAGTGACGCGGGGCGGGAAGCGTGTGGCAGCTGCCCCACTGGCACGGCCTGCAGTGGAACCGCTGGTGTGGGACGTGACGGTTCAAGTTCTGTTCAAGAGCGTTAAGATTGCCTCTGCAGTGGGTACCCTGCAGAGGGCCCAGCGTGGCAGTGGGTCTTAGAGTAGCAGCAACTGTGATCAGTCATCTATGAAACCTTACTGATCTGGCTTCCTCTAAAAATTTGTGCCCAAGGAAATCGGCCTAAAGGGCAAGAAAACAGGCTCCAGATGAAATGTACACAGTAGTTGGAGAGGAAGCTGCAGCCAGGTGACAATTTCAGGCGACCCGGAGGGCTCTGTATCAGAGCTGTGTCTGTCACGTGTAAGGCACTCGGGCACCGAGGGGAGGGTGTCAGGGCCCGTGGTCACTGCCTCTCTGCTCCCCAGAGGTGCGGAACTATATCTGTGACGAGTGTGGGCAGACCTTCAAGCAGCGGAAGCACCTCCTGGTCCACCAGATGCGCCACTCAGGAGCCAAGCCCCTGCAGTAAGTGGGGTGGGGGCGGGGGTGGGGGGGGTTTCTCCCACCAGCGGTGCCCTGGCTCACCCGCCCCCGGCCCCCAGGTGCGAAGTCTGCGGGTTCCAGTGCCGGCAGCGGGCATCCCTGAAGTACCACATGACCAAGCACAAGGCCGAGACGGAGCTGGACTTTGCCTGCGACCAGTGTGGCCGGCGGTTCGAGAAGGCTCACAACCTCAACGTACACATGTCCATGGTGCACCCCCTGACGCAGACCCCGGAGCCCCCGCCTGGGCCCGCAGCGGGGCAGGCCGTGAAGGCTGAGCCCACCTGAGGGCACGCCCGCCCCCGAGCTCAGTGGGCAGTGATGGGGGTTCAGGCCTGACGGCACAGCTCTGCACCCCGAAGAGCCTCCACCCCGTGTGCTGGGTGGCAGGGGCTCAGCACACAGCTCACGGGGCCTTGTGGCTTCTGCTCTGGGACTGGCAGTTTCTTCTCCTATAAACAGAGAGACTTGGGGCCAGAGGCAGTGTTCAAAGAATTGATTCCTCTTCCCCGCTAATGCAGTCGAGGTTTGTAACCCACTTTTCAGGGCAACGGAGAGCTCCACGTTACGCTTGTAATAAATTATTTACCGAGGAGCTGGGCTATGCCCTGCACAGATCCTGTCAGAAGAGTCGGGGCTCCTGGTAGAGGTCAGGGTCCAGCACGGCCTGCTGCCTGCTGAGGAGGGCGGCACGCACTTCCGGGTCACAGTCCGCACTCGCGCCCAGCAGCTGCAAGAAAAGCCCGTGTGCTGGGCCCGTGCTGCTGCCCATGGCCCCCAAAGACCCAGGGCCCGGGGAGATGCCAAGTGCTGGACGCCACATGCTCGTTTTCCCGAAGGCGTTCAGCACCCTCGCAGTGAACAGTGATGGGGACTTAAAGACAGACAGCAAGGCGAGCACCTGGGCATTACCTCTGCCACGTCTGAGAAGCTCCTTTTCGAGCACCGAGGTATCGACTGCAGCAGAAAAAGACGAGCCTTTGTTATCAGGCTTACAGGGTCACCCTGGAGAGAAGACAGGCAGAGCCGCGGTCAGGGTGTCCACAGCTGCGCACTGCGCCAGGAGGGGCTGCGCAGGCCCCCAAGAGCTGGCCGCCCGGGTCCGTCTGGAGACAGGCCTGGCCCTGCACCTGCCTGGGCCTGGAGGTCCCCACTGTGGGCCACAGTCCAGAGCGCACCAGTCTCCCCAGCCACGAAGAGGCCCACGAGCTTCAGGTACATGTTAACAGCAACGTGCAGGAAGGCATCTTCCTGGAGGAGGGCATCCTCGTCAAAGTAGGACAGGAGGCTGAAAGCAGAGACGGACATCAGGTGACCCGGACCTCACTGACCTCACTGAGCCCCGTGCAGGCAGCAGAGCAGCCTTTCCCATCTCTAGGGAGCCCCACCGCCCCTCCCCTTACCAGCAGGCCCCGGGGGTTACCTGTAGAAGGCGACCGGCAGCAGCCTGACCTGGTGGTCGGGGGCCAGGCGGAGGAGGGTGCGCCCCAGGCCGGCATCTGCAACAGAGGGGCTCCGTCAGCAGCGCAGGTGCCTCCCTGCAGGGTCAGGGTCTCATGGGCGTCGTGTGCCTGGTGACGCAGGGGTGATGTCCTCATGCTGCAGAGTAGAGCTTGGGGGCCGGGGTCCCTGGGATCCTCGCTACTCCACTAAATTATTTTGCTTAAATGAGTCTACATACTTACCAAGAACAGAAACTTGCAAAAATGAGTTTTCAAAGTGAGCCCCGAGGAGAGGCTCACGTTTAACCATCTGAAAGTTGCTTCCGAAGAGAAGGACTCAAGAACGGGGCCGCCGTCTGACCCTGCCGCCCCCTGTGCTCCCGGCAGAGGGCTGGGAACCAGGACAAACACAGGCCGGCCAGTCGGTCTCCGGATTCCTCACCCGTCTCCGTCAACTGAAAGAGCGGCAGCCAGGGAATCCTCTTCCTCTGCAGACACCCCAGGACCTCGGCACAGACGCCCAGAGCCTTCAGGGAGCCAACGGCCTGTTGCCCACAGAAGGAGAAGGACCCTAAGCTGACAAGTGCACAAGGAGGAGGTGTCCACCCGGGGCCTCTGGACATGAGACACCAAGAGGCAGGCCGACGGCCTGGGGTTTTCTCTCCTGAGGAAGCCTTCGACACGAAGGTCCCAGGTGCGCCCCCAGCACCACCACCACGAGACCCTAACTCAGGAGGTCTCGGGGGAGACGGGGACACCCATGGTTTCAAGTGCCCTGGGGGGTCGTACCAGCTGCGTGCCGCCCTGCCCACGGCGGCAGAGGGTCTGACCTACCTGTGGGGTCAGATGTGAAGAGAGCAGGCCCATCAAGGAGAAAAAAAACAGGAAAACCAACAGCTGCAAATAAAAACAGGTCCACTCACAACATAAAACTACCTGTGCTCCGTTCCCTTAAAGTAATTCTAAATGGGGAAAGAACACCTTCCTCGTTAGTTGAACAATTTACAGGCCTAGGTTATGAATCTCTCTTAAGTGGATCTCCAGAGAAAGAAAATTTTCCAGTCACTCTTTAAAGAGAAAATTTAATGGGTTATAAACTATTACTGCTTGGGGACCTGTCTCTGCTGATCCCCCAGGCCAGAGTGTGTGGAGGTTGACAGTGGCCTGGAGGCTCTGGAGCCACTAAAATCCTTCCAGCAAAAACCTGAAAACTCTTAAAAATAGACTCTGCCTGGTAGTTTCTTACTTTAAATTATGATCACCAAAACCTCACAGCTCAGCAACTGTTCTCAGGCAGGTGTGTACGGCCTGAGCTACTGCGGGACCCTGGCTTTCACAGAACCAGGGGTTCAGCTGGGGGAGACACAGGGGAGCACGCCGCAGCTCTGGGTAGGGGGCCCTGGGGGGGTCCCACAGCTCCCAGTGGGGCCACCAGCCTGCCATCCGAGCAGCCCTCTGTCCACCCTTGGTCTCTGCCAGCAGCTAACTGGGGTGCGGGTGCCTGGAGGCTATGAAACGGAAGGTCCCGCTGGACAGCTGACAGCCAGCCCTAACCCCCTACCCCAGGGTTGCATTGATAAACAGGCCAAATAAAAGCACTTGAGAACGAAATGTTAAGTACCCTTTCTATCAGCAAACCTGAGAATCTAAGTCTTACTAAACCTACACACCCAGTAAGTTCTTGCTTCCAAATAAAGTTACAAGCACCCCAAACTCTTGTCTGTCCTTGAAAAGCACAGTGTGGTTGGAACCCTGAGAACCAGTGAGGCTGCTGGAAAAGGACACACAGGGAAAGGATCTCACCCTTGCCTCCTCTCCTTGGCCGTCCAGCTGCCCCAGCTCCCGCCGGATGCTCTCCTTCCCGGCCCGTCGAATCACAAAGTGCAGGGCAGCCGCGCAGAGCCAGGCTGGGCCAGGTGCGGGGGATGCCGCAAGCGGGGAGAGGACGCTGCCGCAGACGGAGGTGTGTGTCACCACAAGGGCCCCCAGCCCGTCACAGCCAGAACCCAAAGCGCACCCCCCCCCC